TGCTGCGGCCGGGCTCCTCCGCGCAGGTGCGGCCGCCGCCGCCGCCTTGGGTGTATCCTGTGGTGCATATTACTCCTTAAAATATATATATACACCTTTATTTTTTATAAAGAATAAAGCCCCGCGATGAGGGCGGCGCAGCGGGGCCCGTGACACCTGCGGGCGCCCCCCCGGTCCGCAGCCCCCCCCCCGGTCCGGTCCGGTCCGGTTCGGTTCGGCCCGGGACGGCCGGTACCTGCCCGGGGCTGCGCTTGAACCCCGAGCTCTGCAAAACCACCCCGCCATCCTGGCTGGGCCGCGGGGCTGGTTTAGTGTGTGCTCAGGGGAGGAGGCGAAGGGGGCTGGGCTGCCTTGCAAATAAAAATTGTTGGTAAAATTGTTGTTTTTTGTAATGCTGCAAGTGGCCGTCACCTGCAGTGTGTGCATTTTTGGGGTACGCTTCTAAAAGCTGTTTTTACCACAGAGGGCTGATACAGTATTTTGAGTGTGGACCTGTGTAAATTCATGTTAWTGATAATCTATACTGTATCTATATGCACATGCATGTACATACATGTGCTCTGTGTGTATATATATGTGTTTGTATGCATGCATCTATTCATCTTAATAAGCTATATRATGATCTAGCCTGCGTATTGCCTCATAATACAGTTGGCTTTTATGGTTTGAGTTCATGTGCCTTTAAGAGGAAGAATATCTAAATATAGTGTTTCCTTCATTTATTTGACTGTACGACATAGTGAAATCACGTTTGTCCTTMGATTTTGCTCTTTTTAAAAAATACCTATGTACAGAATCCTAATTCAGTGCCCTCAAACCACACTTGTTACCTTTTGTTTTGCTTTGTTTTTCTATGCAACAAAGTGACCTTAAGAAGGAATGCAAACTGCAGAATTTCCTGTCTGTTTAGCTGCTGAAGCCTCTGCGCTGTCCTGATTTATTGTGGGATTTTCGTGATGCTCGTTTCTCCCCTGTCATTTTCTCCTCTTTCCATGAACACGCTGTTTGGAAGGCAGCYGGAGAGCGTGTTTACATTGCATTCAGATTAGGTATCATGTCCAAGTTGAAGACAAAATGGCTCCTTTTATTATGGGCTTTCTTTTAAAGGAAAACGAGTGCCTGCGTGAGCATTTTGTGTGAGGTTGCTGGTCTCATTCAGGTGAGCGTGGGGAGCAGCCTTGGCTTTTGGTGTGCGGGAATGTGGAGTTCGGCCTCATGCAGGTGTCCGGGCTGGTGCCAGGGGCCTGTGCCCCCGGCTCTGTCTCCTGGTACTTTAATAGATATTCCCCCATCGGCCTGGCCTTTCCTCCCTGGGCGTTTTCCACACAGGGCTGCAGCCTCTCTGCCCCTTTCACACAGTATCAGCTCCTCGCAGGTTACACTCTAGATATGTGGTGTTTGAAGATAAGCTTAGCTTTAAATAAATTTTTCTTGGATGCATTCAAACTGTACTTTTGTCTGCAGACCAGAGCAGTCCTGTGCTTCCCCCTGCTTCTGGATTCCTAGCGAGCAGCCTTCATTTGAAACCCCAGTTTAATGTTAATTTGTGTCTTGGTGCAGATTCAGTCATTCTCCTTCAGCAGAAGGGATAAAGAGCGTTGCAGAGGAAGTCATGCATGCTGCATTCAGAGTAAACACTGCAAGGGCTCCTCTTCCCTGTGTGCCGGCAGGGAGCTGCTGCTCTTCCCTAGGTGCAGGGTGCTGGGAGCTCGCAGGCTGCACCCGGGAGTCAGGAAGGCCTCGTGTGAAAATGGCAGGGCTCTATTGTTAAACAGAGCAAGGTAGAAGTTGTTGAGGGGAGCTTCCTCTTTTCTGTATTCCCTCCTCTTCCTCCCCCCATCCTCTGCTGCCTTTCCAGTGAAATGTGTGGGGAGGTTGCTGTGAATTCCTCCTTTGCTTCCCAAAGGACTTAGCACGTCTAGAATGCTCTTTTGTGTCGTCCCCCCTTTCTCCYGCACTTGCTTGTGCACGGGTGTTTTCAACTCCTTTCTTCTGAGGTTKCTAGTCCTCAGAACGATTCTCGGGGAAAACAGTAGAGCAAAATATAGCAGCTACTAAAATACTGGACTCAAGGATCAGAAACAAGTCTGTGCTTGTCCTTCCCCTGTACAGACAAATATAGATATAGTATGTGATKTAGGCCTCAAGCAGGACAATGAGTTATTCATTATATCAACTCATACTTAATTTGTTCTGTTTATTAAATTAAAATGTAGTTTGACAAAAGTAGCTCAAGTAATTGTAAGCACGCAGTGTCCCTTAAAACCAAACAATAGCTGAGGTCCTCGTGGTTAAAACTGAAAGCATAGTCCCTATATGTATTGAAGGCTTAAATGTGCTATTGGTGTGGGGTTTTTTTGATTTTATTATTATTTTTTTTTAATTTGCATGCCAACTGACCGTGTTTGGACAGAGGAGAAGAGTTTTTATGCCCACGGTTAAAAACAGATTGGGAAGTATTTATTTGCGTTACAGCGCCTGTACAGGTATGCTAGATAGTTAGAGCTGATTAATTATTGTAGCCAGACAGACATTGAAGTTCATTACTGTCTAACCGTATCTTTTTTCCAGCTTCCCTACTTGAACGCAYCCAGCGAAGTGTTGTCTGTTTGTATTTCGGGTTGCGTATGTAACTTGCTCAGACAGTTGGATGTGTTCTTGCAGTGTCGATGAAAAGGGCAGAAATAATATTAGACGTCTTTTCCCATTGATGGATTAGAAGTCTAGACGAGAGAGGCTACGTCTTTGCGGCGCCCAGACTGTCTGATTAAGGTCGGTTTGGGCGGGTTTGTGAATCGCCCTGGTCTTTGCTGAATGTGGATCCTTAATCTGCCTATGTTTATTTCCCTTTAGTTTCATTAAAGCTTTGTATGTTTATTAATAGCATTTCTGTCCAGACGTTGGAGCCTGAGGGTGGGAAAACCTCCCTAGTCAGCTGTCTGAGCATATAGACTAACGGAGCTTCAATTATTTCCTTCGGAGGAGAATGCCGCGCTTCCAAGCGCATGTTGTTGGATACGGCGCTGGAGTACGCAAACATGTACCAGCGAAGACCGAGGCRGCTCGCTGCTCCCTTAGGTCGCAGGAGAATATCCCATTGCTAGAGACAGCCTGTAGTGCCCATCTGCAGGAGAAAGGAGGCCAGGGGACTGAGCCGTGGGCCAGGAGGGGAAAAGCGTCCGTGGAAGCTCCGCTGCGACGGGGTCAATGAAAGAGGTGCTTCCATCCCTTTGCTCGCTGCCTTGAGCTGGAGTCCAGTCCATACCAGCCAGTGAGCATGAAAATGGTAGGATTTGTTTAGTGTTTGCTGTTTTGAATAAATAGCAATGATTCTTAAACGAGCACTTGTTTACTGTTGTAMACAGTCAACTCTTGCTTGCATTCGTATGCGCCTTGGCCCCGGATTTTCACCTAGCCTCCATCTCAGCTTTTTTGTCCTAAAGGCACCTGCTAGGGTTTGAATGCAGTAATTTTGCCTGGGATGAGTTTCCCCTTCCCCAGTATCTCATGTGTAAAGCGAGCTGGGCACCAGGCCGCGTGC